CTAATAGAGTATAATTTTCTTTTAAAAAGAATGATAAAAAAGAAGAATTTAATATAATGCTTTTAGTAATTAAGAGAAAAATTATAAATAATGTGATCAATATTTTAAAATAAAGTAAGCAAGTTATGAAAAATATTTTGATCTTTAGAAATTGTACTAGTCTATAGAATGATAAATAGTTATGAGAATTATTTTAAATATTCTGTATAAGTTATTATTAAATGTATTCACTACAAAAAAAAATATATATATTTGTAACGGAATTCCGTTCCTAAAGTTCACGTAGCTAACGTAATTTCATTCCTAATTCCATCTCTAATATCATTAGTAACGGAAAAAGTGGATTTAAGAACGAAAAAATATTGTTACAAAACTGATATTTTTTTTTTGTAGTGATTTTGCAATATTAAGAGTTTATTTTTCAAATCAAAATTACTATTTTTCAGACTATAATGTCCAAATAGACATAAAAATTATTTATTCTTATAAATATCAAATTAAATTATATTTAAATAATAATTTAAATTCAAATCAAAAGTAAACAGATATTAAAGGTCATGTACCTCGTTATTTATTTATTTGAGAAAATAGAGTTATTTCAAAATCACATTATATACTTTCGAGAATAGTTTAGATAATACGTTCTTACACTATATATCACAGATACCCTGGCGCGCCCAGATCCATTATAAATTTATGTTATATATATATATAATTTAATATATAAATAATTTATTTGATATATATAAATAAATAATTATTCTAGTTTGGTGGTATAGAGATTAGTTTTTAATATTGGGGCCTAAGTTTAAATCCTATCTGTCTAAAACATTAAAAAATGTTTTTTTATAACTATTTTTCATCTAAAAATCTTAGAAAATTATTTTATTTAATTATTTATATTTTATAATAAATAAGAATATATTCTTTATATATATTTTGGGACCCATATTTTTTTTTGGTCCAAACCTTTCGAAAGTCAAGACGGGTCCTGCACACATAAACTATTAATATCTCTTAACCTAAATATTTTTAGGTAAATTGATTTTTTTATGTATGGTATAGAAAATTGTGTCAAAATATAGGGAATAGTTACGGTGCTAATTTTTCAGCACTTATAATATACAGAAACAGCACATGTTATTATTACACACAACACATGTGATGTTTATTCAGAATTATATGGGTGTTGTATAAAAGTATATTATGTACTAAAATCAAATGTCGTCTATTTTATGTGATTATAGTATGTGTTGTTATGTTGTATTTGTATTATATTAATATAAAAATGTGTTGTTTGTCATTTTGACTTTGTAACTTTTTGCAATGAGTATTTGAACCTTTTACTTTTTTTTACTTTTTACTTTTATAAGAGGTATTTTTTATTATTTGTAGTATTATTTTTTGGAATCATAATGAAAAAATAGTGTTACGGCGAACAAAGTTATTGTGTTATAGATGATTATATTATTAAGGTAAAAAAAAAATACCTATATTGAAGGAGTATTTATTAAGATATGGTTTATAAAATACTTCAATCAATATTTTCAAATTATATTTTCAATCAAATATATATATATATATTGCATTTAATTGTAATTCATTCGAAAACTAAAATAAGTCATTCCAATTAACCGAACTAAATTTCCAACCATAAACCAAATTGAAAATTAAAATATGTCAATGCTATGATTTTTCCTATATAATTCTTTATAGAAGTAATTAATATTACTAAAGCGCACTCGAAGGATTTTTATTGATCTATTAGTTTCTCTCCGTTTTTGACACCGGTTTTTAGTAAGTAGTATTAAGTAGAATAATTCAGAAATTAGGTGATATGATAAGAGAGAAATATATATTTTATTTTTTTATTTGGATGATGTGACTGGATAAAATGTTGGGTAGAGATTAAATATAATTAATTATTTCCTATTTTGTAAATGTTGCAAAGTGTTTGTGACGGAAGGAATACAATTTTGACTTGCTGGCCTGAATGTCACGTCAATATAATAATAAAATGTGGGACAAATATTTATAATTCCTAATCAATTATTTTTCACTTCTTGACTTGATCCATGACTCTTGTGAGTCCACTCTAATTTATATTTATTAATTTACACAATTACTATTGTCCTATATTGCCTTTCCTAGACTTTGTAGTCAATTGAATAATATAAAAATATTAATAATAATAATAATAATAATAATACAATTTGAGAACTCTTTCTTCGATCTTAGATGTAAGTTTAACGTTATGATTTAGAATTTAATACGATGTTTTGAATAAAAATTTCGTTTGTGTTGATATACTTTTGATTTTTTTGGTATTATTAACTTTTTAAAAAATATCATATTAAATATACAATCTTTTACTATTTTCAAAAAATTTTAAAACTCAAAAACTTTCAAAATTTTTATCTGAAAGGACCCAGAATTTTTTGTGGAATATATTAGATAAATATATATATATATATATATTTTGTTAGTTTTTACAATAGCTAATAGTATATTGCAGCTATGTAGGCCTTAAGGGTTGAGTGTTTTTAATCATTTATATTTTGGGTTTTGATATGTTTTGAAGTGTAATAATTATTGGATATTGTTTTATAGATATATATATATAATTGTATACGTGTTATATTTTAAAAATTAAATACTTATTTTGTTAACAAAGCAGTCTGAGTCATGTTCGCAAACGTTTAATTAGAAGATTAATATATAAGATTATTAATTAAAAAATAAATAAAATACTATATATATTATAAAATAAAATAAAATATCATATCTATCAAATCAAAGCTCAAACGAACTTATTCGATCTGAACACAAACTTGAACAATAAAATTTCTTAATGAACCAAACTTAAACAATACAAATAAACTCGAATACTTAACAAACGAGCACGAACCTTTGGTTACAAACATAACGAACAAAAATATTTAAAATTATATTCGGCTCCTCTTGTTAAAAAACTCTAAATCTCATGCACAATTATATGAACTCACTTTTACATAATAACAACCTGCATGCTCTTACTATACTAATAGAACTCATAGCAATCACTGATTAACTCTAATGAGCACTTCAATCATTCTTAAAGCTGTAAACAAGCCGAAATGTTCAACTTTGAACTAAATCTAAGTTGATGCAATCTACAAGATAAGTTTGAGTTCCATGATCATCCGTTTCGGCTTCTATCTCACGCGGCGCTGCAAATGGTCTTGAAGGCATCCGTGGTTCGGACTCACTTTCAAGCATTTCTATTACTTTGTTGATAGGAAGTCGATCGGATGGTCTCATTTGTATGCACCACATTGCGACTATCATAATCTTTTTCACCATTCTTTTTTCCTCTTCGCTTGCATCTTTCATCTCGATGTCCTTTCCTGCACATAGTTGGTCATATATCCACATCGGGAAGTAGATTTGAGTTGTTTCTTCAACCAAATGATTCGTGATTTTCCTTTTCCCCGCCATTTCCATCAACATCATTCCAAAGCTATATATATCAGCCTTGTAAGATATACCTCCCATGTTTTTGTAGAACATCTCGGGTGCCATGTATCCCATTGTTCCTCTTGCGCCCGTTAAATTTATGAAGCTCTCGTTGGTGGGGTGCAATCTTGCAAGCCCGAAATCAGATATCTTTGGATTGAAATTCTCGTCGAGCAGTATGTTGTGAGGTTTGATGTCAAAGTGTAGGATTTGCATATCACAACCATGATGCAAATATCCAATTCCACGCGCCACTCCAAGTGCAATTTCAAACATTTTGTCGAGCGTCAAGGCGAGCACTCCTAAACTTTGTTCGTTGAAGATATATCTATCGAGGGAACCATTAGGAAGAAACTCATATACCAAAGCATACTTTGAGCGTTCGATACAAAACCCAACGAGATGAACTACATTGACATGGTGGATTCGCCCGATTGTGCCAACTTCATTGATGAATTCTTCGACCCCGGCTATGGTTTGGTCTAACATCTTTACCGCCACATAAAGACCACTTCGAAGCTTTCCTTTATAGACAGTTCCATAGCCTCCTTCACCCAATTTTTCGTTAAAATTGCTCGTCATTTTCTTGACATCCGAGTAACTGTATTTTATGGGTGCAAAATCATGTTGATCTTGTAAAAACTTTTCAACATTTGTATCCATGCATAAATGGCGTCTTCTCCATTTATGGATCACCAACAACAATAGAAGAGGAAATCCAACCATAAATCCAATTGCCAATCTTATAGATAAGATCTTACCTACATTATTTCGTGAAAATATATATATATATATGTATATCAAATAGGAAGAATTGTTTGCAATCTCATGGTTAATTTGTTTAGAAAAAAATGACATGTCTGTCAACTTTTCAATATGATTTTTCATTGCACAATTTACAATTAAATATATTTTTCCGTTTAAACTCATTCTATTCCCATCAATTGAGTGTATACATTTATTTAACATATAACATCAAAAATTATTTTATATAAAACAAAATTATAAAAGCCAAAGCAACTTGAAAATTCATTTAAATGCATAGATAATAACTTAAAACATGGGAAAATTGCAAAAATATCATACACGTATACCTCATTATCACTTTTGTCTTGTATTTATCTTGCTGACAAAATATATCTCACATGTTTACAAAAGTCGTTATTTCTATCATTTGGCCGCGTGTGGCCGCACGTGATTGTGCGTAAGGGCGCGTGGTGTGAATGTGACACGCGGGCAAAGGACATAAATAGCGATTTTTATAAACATGTGAGATATATTTTGGCAGAGAGATAGATACAGGACAAAAGTGATAATACGGTATAAGTGTAGAATATATTTTGCAATTTTATCCTTAAAACATCGTTTAAACATTAGTTATAAAATGATTTTTTTAAAAAAATCCAATCTTACCAATTGTCCAAAGAACCGTAATCATTATCCCTGTAAACAAAAATATATAAAAATTAAAGTATAAAAATATATAAAAATTCTAGAAGAAAAGCTCACAAGATTCCAAAGTAGATTGGATCTGAGAAAAGTACATTGAAGTGTATTAAGATATCTACCTGCAAAATTTCAAATTAGTATATAATGAGCATATACAATTTGAAAAGAAAACTATAATTATGATAAAGTATAACTGCTACTTATTTCTAAATTATTGACCATAAGTGATAAAAAGTATCGTCTATAATAAGTTATAATCATGAATTAAAGTGTAAAATCAAATAAATTTGAGGTATAGAATGGAATTAAACAATATGGTTTGACAATTTATAATTCTTTTAAATGAGATAATTTGATAATTAAGTGATACAATAAGAGAGAAAATTGTATATTTTATTTCAGACGGACAGAGTAGTAAAATATGAAGTAGACATCAATTAAGTGACACTTACAACGAAAAGGTGAGTAATCATATGAACAACATCTTTCCGTCACAATGTGATTGGGAGCTAAGATGAAATAGGGAACCTCCAGCCAACAACCTTCAGAATAGATCCTCCATGAAAACTCAAACCCATAAGCCAAGGCCTCGTAAATATCGATGAACGATGATTTATTGGTAATAGGCCAGCGCGCGGATGTCCAAAGCACCTTATCCACCGCACAAGACTCCTCTAAATACGACAAAGATAGATAAAGATCTCCAAGCACGACATAACTATGGAACTGGGAAGAATTTCCAAAATGGATGGTTTTTGTTGTGTTGCCAAAGAAAGGGGCTCTAACATAATAATTATTATTATCGTTTGCAATAGGGGACGACAAACAATGAATGAATGCTGCTTCTTTGTTTAACGGAACCGTACTTATTTCATCGCTGTAGACGTCGTAGGAAACACCAAAATAGTATGCTTGGCTATTACAGGAGGAGAGGTCTCTGGGCATATTGATATTGATATTATTATTGAAGCAAGCGGGGTCGACTACCCTTATCCGCTCTTGTTCATAATTGATACTTAGCACCAAAAGCGTCGTTGATCTGTATTGCCTCGTTGCAAAATCTTGTCCTTGTAAATTGAGAAGTGTCTGGTTATTATGGCAATCGAGCTGGAAATTGATGTCGTCCAATCCGCAATGGGAAGGATCAGTGCTGAGTCGAAAAGGGTAGCTTATGCGCGTGATGTTGCCGCAGGAAGAAGGAGGGCATTGGTGGAATTGGGATCGGGATGGAGTGACATAAGTGACGAAAATTAGTTGCAAGACAACGAGGAAGAAGACATGAATTAGGAGGACAGACATTATGGTCTTATTAAGGTTTAGGGTATATAAAGCTAGACTTCATACAATTAATCGAATCGTTGGATCAATATATAAGATTATTGAGTATGATCGAATCTACTTTGGGCATTGGTCATTTTTTATTATTACACATATGCATCTCAACACCTTAAAGTTGAGTTCTTTTCGTGGGTTTTCAACGTATATTTTTATTATTCATATTTTTTTTTTTAAAAAAAAAATATCAAATCAAACTATTATATTTTTTATACATATATATTATACTATAAATCTATTTCATATTTAAAATATCACGTCAAACGTTTATTTATATCACATTAAAAAATTATTTAAATTCAACTTGTTACTCCTAAAAATATTTTCAATCTCAAGAAGTACACACAAACAAACACACCCTAGTGGCCATGGAAAAACAGAAGCCACTTGCCAATCCATCATGACTTGACCAAGTCTTACTACCTGCTCTGATAAAAGTATAAGAAATTGATTTTAAAATATAAAATATATTATTTTTAATTAAATATTTTATTTTTTATTTTTTTAATAAATATTTAAAAAAAATAATTTATTTTTTATATGTTACAGAAAATTGCATAAAAAGTATAAAATATATTTTTTGAAAACGTGATTCCAAAAAATTATTGCACGCAACAAACCCTATATGTATATATATTATCATTATGAACTCTTTAATTAATTATATATATATTAATTAAGTTTGATTGTTTTATGTACTATAAATAAATATTATATGTAATATTTTGAATATAAATTATATAATAAAAAATATAAAGATATTTTTAATGTTATTTTTAGAAACAGATGAATAGAGTATAATTTTTTTTAAAAAAAGAATGATAAAAAAGAAGAATTTAATAATGTTTTTAGTAATTAAGAGAAAAATTATAAATAATGTGATCAATATTTTAAAATAAAGTAAGCAAGTTAATGAAAAATATTTTGATCTTTAGAAAGTGTACTAGTCTATAGAATGATAAATAGTTATGAGAATTATTTTAAATATTCTGTATAAGTTATTATTAAATGTATTCACTACAAAAAAAAAAAATAGTATATTTGTAACGGAATTTGTAATGCCCCGATTTCGGAATGTATAAAATAATATTATTATAGCAAATAAATATTTGACAATAGTAATGGAATCAAGAAATTAATATTTTGGGATAAAGTATATTTCAATTTTGTATATTAATTATAATTAAATAGACTGTTAAATGGATAAATATCGAAAAAATTAAAAATAAATATAAATATAAATATAATATATAATATATAATATATAATACATATATATAATAAAATGTAAAGATAAGGATGATAATAATAATAACGTTAATAATAATAATAATATTATAATATATTATAATATAATAAATAATATAATATAATAATAATAATATAATTATAAATGTAAATACAATCTTACCTACGAAGGAAGGAGAAGGAGAACGCGCAGGAGAAGAAGGCAGAGAAGAAGAAAGAGGAAGAAAAAGAAAAAAAAAAAAAAAAAAAAAAAAGAAAGAAAAAGGTTTAGCCGTCCGATTCCAATTTCGACTTGGGTATGGTATTCCTTGCTATTCGTAGAGTCCGATTATAAATTTTAATACGAATTTTGATATTGGAGTATTAAATTAGAAATTCTTCAAAAATTCAAAATTGGCTATTTAGCTATTTAATCGATGAATTTCTTTAGCTAATAGCCTATTCGTAGCGCCGACGTTATATTTTGAGAATTTCGTACCGATCCAAGTCGAATAAAAAACGGCAGTATATCGCATCTGCCTGCTTGTTCATACCTTTGCGTATTTTTATTTAATAATCGGGCAATATAAATATTATGAGGTAGAAGGATTTTATAGCTAGAATATCATATTCTACTAAATATAAAAGTTTGGAGCCCAACGAATTAATTATAGAAATTAGCTTTTGAATAAGCAGGTAGCTCCTGAGAATAAGCATAAAGCTCATCTGATTTGAGTAAATAATGGGACAGGTGTACGTTGGAGGAGATTTGGGTGAAGTTATAAAATCCAGAAAGTATCGGTAGGAGGTAAGCAGTAGGGAATTAAATCTAATTTTAAGAAATTAGGTATTTATGTTGCATGTGATTCTGATTCTGATATTGATATGATATTATGTGGGATCATTTGGTCAGTGCATCTATATATGTATATATGTGTGTATATGCATGTGTGAAACTTCGTTTTACGATATTTGATATACGTATTTGATCGTGTTGGTGAATTTATGAAAAGGAGGATAGGTGGGCCGTCTCACCAGCCCTTTTCATTAAATTCACTTATTGACATACTGCACACATTGCACGATTTATCGGATATGTTTTATGGATCTATCGTGTGCGGTAGTGCTAGGTGAGGGCATCATCTGGGGTTAGGATATTCGACCCCGATGTACCGTAACACTTTGGCGATAGTGGGCGATAGTAGTCGGACAACTGGGTGACTTAGTCGCACGGTCATTCAGGGATTAGACCCATTGCAGTTGAGACGTATTTGGTCTAATCATTCATGTTCGGTGTTGTTCCACTCATTGGAGTAGCTACTAGTGAGGTCTACCGGTAGTTTAGGATCAGATGCCAAACTCCAAACGCGATCCCGTTAGGGCGTGCGAGGAGGAGTAGAGTTTCCGGGTTTCCTTCGGGTGATTCCAGGTTGCACGGATTCTACTACGTTACACGGGGTAGGGCTAGACAGGAGGGTCCTATCTTCGCTATCACAGACTATGGGGTGTCTTGTGGTTAATGGCGACAACGTTCAGCTATCCATGTATTGATTGCGGGAGTCGTATGGTGGGTATATGGAAGTGACCGGGTGACCGTTATATTATTATGGGTTTACCAGGTCCTTCCTTGAGCCGAGGATTTTCCGGCTATTTATTGATGATAGTCTAGTGAGCTGTTATTATGGAGCCGAGGTTATTCCGGCTGCTCACTTTGACATATGTATATGGGTATATGTGCATGAGTTGTCGATTTTGACATTATTGTTACATTATTTCAGTATGGGCATGGCATGACATTTATTTTGCAAATGACGGAAATTAAACTCTATTTTCGAGCATGACATGGCATATTTTATGTTAGTTCTTAAAATGGATTTAATTCTAGACTGCTTTTAAGAAAAATATTTGATTCAGGTACGCATGGCACCTCCGGGACAGGGGACGTCTCGGGAGATAGAAAGACGGGCTGAATGAGTGAACTGCATCTGATGTATTATATGTAAATTCTAACTAGAAAAAAAACCTCCCGTTTTGGGAGTGTGTTTTTGTAAATATTTATAAACTTGTTTTTTTGGAAATAATAAAATGCCTATATAATTAATTTTAGCCTTAATACTGTGTTGTGGGGCCCGAAGTAGGAGGTGACGACCTCATGATGCAGTGTGGCGGTAGCATTTCCAGTATGAGCCAACTGGGGGTGTTACAGAATTATGTTCCTAAAGTTCACGTAGCTAACGATAATTCAATTCCTAATTCCGTCTCCAATATCATTAGTAACGGAAAAAATGGATTTAAGAACGAAAAAATATTGTTACAAAACTGATATATATATATTTTTTTTTGTAGTGATTATGCAATATTAAGAGTTTATTTTTCAAATCAAAATTACTATTTTTCAGGCTATAATGTCCAAATAAACACAAATTATTTATTCTTATAAATATCAAATTAAATTATATTTAAATAATAATTTAAATTCAAATCAAAAGTAAAAAGATATTAAGTACTTCCTTATTTATTTATTTTAGAAAATAAAATTATTTCAAAATCACATTATATACTTTCGAGAATATTTTAGATAATACATTCTTAAACTATATATCACACATACCCTCCACCGGGCGTGGTAAACAGGGGTTCATTATATATTTTATATTATATATATATATATAATTTATGTATTAATAATTTATTTGATATACATAAATAAAAAATGATTGTAGTTTGGTAGTATAGAGATTAATTTTTAATATTAGTCTAAGTTTAAATCCTATGTGTCTCAAACATTAAAAAATATTTTTTATAACTATTTTTCATCTAAAAATCTTAAAAAATTATTTTATTTATATTTTATTATAAATAAAAATATATTTTATATATATATATTGGGGCCTATATATTTTGTGGCTCGAACCCTTCCAAAGTCAAGACCGGCCTACACACATAAACTATTAATATCTTTTAATCTATAGACGAAAAGTAAAAGAATACATGCATTTCGGATAAAAGGAGTATTCTATTTTTATCACTCTTAATGAATAAATATGTATATACATATATATATATATATTTATTTAAAATCCACCTATCTTTATTTGATATCAATTTATGCTAATTATATATACTTTTAGATAAATTGAATTTTATGTATGGTATAGAAAATTGTGTCAAAATATAGGGAATAGTTACGGTGCTAATTTAGAAGATTAAGCACGGTGCTGATTTTTCAGCACTTATAATATATAAAAACAACACATGTTCTTATTACACACAACACATGTGATGTTTGTTCAGAATTATATGGGCGTTGTATAAAAGTATATTATATATTCCCTCCGTCTCAAACACCGTCCAACATTTCCTTTTTGATATGTCCCAAACACCCTGCAACATTTCCAAAATAGGAAATAATTAATTATACCTAATCTCTACCCCACTCTTTATCCCCCTCACATCATCTAAATAAAAAAATAAAATATATATTTCTCTCTCCATCACATCACCCAATTTCTAAATTATTATACTTAATACTACCCACCTAAAAACTCGTGCCAAAAATAAATGTTGCACTTTGTTTGGGACGGATGGAGTACTAAAATCAACTGTCGTGTATTTTATATGATTATAGCATGGGTTGTTAATTCATGTCAGTACAAGAAAAAATTATTTTTGTAACAAAATTTTTTTTGTCTCTAAATCTACTTTTTGTGTTACTAATGACATTAGAGACGGAATTAGAAATGAAATTACGTTGGCTACGTGAA